TTCAGGGTTTAGGGTTTAGGGTTGAGCATCTGGGATTTAGGGTTTAGGGTTCAGGGGTTCCAGGGTTTAGGGTTTAGGGTTCAGGATGGGTTCTTTGTTAGTAACAAAACCTTGCAATCAGGCAGGGTGGAAGCGCCGGTCGATGCCCTTTGATGTGCAACTCGCAGGCAAGTTTGTTGAATGAGTCGTCTGACGAACTGTAGTGTAGCGAACCTTTCGCGCGTGCACGCTTAAGGGTTTTGCGGCTACATGTCCGCGCTGTATGTTTCGACACTTGTTCTGTGGGTCGTCGATCGCCTTTAGTGTTTCTGCGCACATCAGCAGGAGCACTCAGTGGATTAGGGTTATCGCAAGCCATGGCCGCGGATGACTCGAAGGGTTCCACCCTTTCCAAGCACTTGGCGGCCACGACGCTCCTGGGGTATGGCATTTTTGGGGCTGTCCAGGCTTCGGGGTTTACCTGGACCCCAGAGAACCTACGTTTTTAAGGGCCCCTTGTTATGATTTCCCCATATAAGTCCATGGAAAGGTAGGCTCTTTAAGGTCTAGGTACGGATGTAGAGTTTAGGGTTCAGGGTTCGGGGATTTAAGGTTTACAGTCAGCCCCCAAAAGTTGGAAACCGGATGAAGGCCAAATCGTGCTGGGATTCCTTTACATAACTTGTAAGGATTGAGGCTATTGGGTTTCCAACTTTTCGGCTTCTGCTGTAGAAATTCAGGGATGAGGGATTTGGGGTTTGGGGTCTAGGGTTTTAGGGTTTAGGGATTTGGGGTTTAGGGTGTAGGGTCTAGGGATTTAGGGTTTGGGGTTTAGTGTTCAGGGTTTAGGGTTCAGGGTTGAGGGACTAGGGTTCCGGTTCAGGTGTGAGGGATTAGGGTGTATAGGGTTTAGTTGGCAAGAACCCTGTAGCGTTACCCCCGCCCTAAATGTTATTTCTTCAACCCCACACCCCAGAAGCCCTGAACGCTAGTCAGCCCTAAACCCTGTCCAGGTCATATACCGCTTGATATGGGGATGGAGGGCATCCTCTCGCATGAAAGGCCTTCTGAAAGACACGCCGGCTACGAAGGGGGCCGGCCACGATGCACCGGCTGGGTGGCTGAAGGACCTGATAGCCAATCGCGACCGTGTCCACGACTGGCGTCTTGATACTTGGTTGAACTTTACAGTCACTTTATAGCTTTGTCACTTTTAGGATTAGCCCTGTTTGATATTGGGGTTACTAAAAGTTATAATTTTAGCAAGGTAATAAAGAGCAACCCAGGATATTTCTCAGGGGCAACCTGTTTCCAAGAACCTGGGTTTCAGCTGGCACCCTGGGATGAACATGTTGATCGTGAACGATGCAGAGGTTGTGCGCCACATCTTGAAGGACGAGTTCAACAAGTACACGAAGTCAGAACTCAGGTATGATCCGTTCTTCTTCTACGTCCAGGATTTCCTGGGTGATGGCATTTTCGTTGTGAAGCATGGGGTAGGTTCCGAAGATCGTGGGCAAGACTGGGGGAACATGCGCAAGGTCTCTTCTCAAATTTTCAGCCGGACGCTTAGACTTAGACATAACATAAGTAGCTTTTTCGGGCCTTGAGGGGGTGCTTCAGGATTTTCTATGGCTTGAAAGAGAGTTCTTCTGGGTTTCCCTAGTTGTAGTATCAGTAACCTTTAGCCCAGTTTTGGGGGTGTAGGGTTTAAGGTATAGGGTTTAGCTTGAGGTTGCCGTAGGACGGACAAGTAAGGAAGAACTTCAGCCTTATAAACCCTAAATCCTAGACCCTAAGCCGCGAAGGAAGAACTTCAACTCTCTGATGAACGAGGTTTTCATCGAGAAGGCAGAAGTCTTGCGCCGCTTTCTCCAGAGATCTCGAGATGAACAGAAGCAGGCGGACTTGGTGCTCCCAAACCGTAAGCCTTATGCAGGGTTTAGGGTTTAGGGCTTAGGGCTTAGAGTTTAGGGTTTAGGTTTTAGGGTTTAGGGGTTTAGGGTTTACGGTCCATGCACCCAAAAGGGTTCCTTTAGGGGATTCTGTAAGATGTAGGGCTTAGGGTTTATATAAAGGATTCTGAAGGGGTTGTATAAGACTGTATGAGTTCTGGGTTTAAGGGTCCATGTACCCGAATAGTGTCTACTTTGGCCTCAATGTAGTCCCTATATAGGTAGTCTAGGGCCAATGTATATACTATTTGGGTATGTGGACCATTCGGGAAATGGCACAACAGTAGGTATCAGTCCCTTAGGGTCCATGCGCCCGAGTGGTCTACACTTGGGCCGCACAGCTTTTTTGGGACTACTTCTAGGCCAAAGTATATACGGTTTGGGTACATGGACCCTTAGGGAGTTGTAGCTATAGGCTTTAGCCCAAATTGGGTACTATTTTTGCACTTGGAGGTGGACCTGCAGTCGTCCTTCTTCAACTTCACACTCGACAGCATCATGCGCATCTTCTTTGGTGAAGACTCCAACACAGCCGTTGGTGTTCCGAACGTGTATGGCAAGGCCTTCGACACGGCACAGGCGAACATGCGAAATCATGCGGTCGAGTCCATTGCGCCCTACCTCATGTTCAGCACGTTCTTGCCGTGGCCTTTTGGTGGCCAACATGGAGGACTAGCTCTAAGATTCTAAATAATTTCCAACACTATTTGGGGGGCTCCTTATTATAAGTATAGTATAATGGGCCCCAGTATAATGCGCCCCAAAACCCTATTCTAACTATGAAAGGCCTCTACACCCTAAACCCTTGTAGTAGCCCTTACAAAACCCTTTAAGAAACCCTTTAAAAGAACCCCCACAACCCTATTCTAATTATTAAGGCCCCTATAACATGGAGGACCCTTAGAGGAACCCTTATGGTATCCCTCTTTAAGGAACCCTTTAAGGAACCCTATTCTCCTATAACATGGAGGATTAGCTCGCTGGCTCTGGGACCGTCTATCCCGGAAGCACCGGACAATGAAATCAGCATGCCGCGTGCTCGATCGGGAGGCCAATCGTTTGGTTTAGGGTTTAGGGTTTAGGGTTTAGGGTTTAGGGTTTAGGGTTTAGGGTTTAGGGTTTAGGGTTTAGGGTCGGGAGGCCAATCGTTTGGTCAAGAAGTGCCGTGATGATCCACAGCTTCCTGGCTAGCCGAGGGGTATCCTTCAAGGTGCTTCGGTCTTTTAGGCCTTAGGTTTTAGGGTACCTAAACCCTAAACCCTAAACCCAAAGGCAGTTTAGGTTTCAGGCTTGAGGGTCTTTGTTGGGTGTATAGAAATATGTTTTTGACAGAGACCAGCTGTTTTGGTGCGTGTTCTAGAGAGACCTACACCCTGAAACCCTAAACCCCAAACCCTAAATCCTAAACCCAACCCTTAATTAACCCCCTAAACCCCAAACCTAAACCCTAAACCCTAAACCCTAAACCCTAAACCCTAAACCCTAAACCCTAAACCCTAAACCCTAAACCCTAAACCAACCAACCTAAAACAAAAGGACCCGCTTTTTTTTGGGAGGGCCAGGAAACTCAACCACTGAGGCTGCCTGAGCGACGAGATTTGCTGGCACTCTTCATTCAGGCGACGGTTTAAGGGTTTAGGGTTTTGGGTTTAGGGGGGTTCAGCGCGGACTCTAGGGGTTAGGGAGTGTAGGGTTGGAGGTTTCGGTTTTCAGGGCTTAGGGTATTGGGTTTAGGGACTAGGGTCTACCCATAGGCCCCATAGCAGTTCCTTTTTTGTGGTTTGTATTTACGATCCTATCAGGTAATCCCCAAAAGGAACTACTATTGGGGCCTATGGGTAATTAGGTTTAGGGTTTAGGGTTTAGGGTTTAGGGTTTAGGGTTTAGGGCTTAGGCTTTGGGGTCGGTGTTCAGCCAGGTTCAGCACAGACTTAAGGGTTTTGGGAGTCTAGAGGTTGAGGCGTTTATATATGGTTGATGATATAAATCCTGCATTACACGTAATAGGGCATATACCATAATTCCGATAGTTCAGGGTCCTTAAGGTAATGCAGGATTTATATCATCAACCGTAGGGCTGGTTCATGCAGGCAGGGTTCAACGCGGACTTTGTGAAGCAGATGGTCTTGCACTTGATCATTGCTGGCAGAGACACCACGGCTTGCTTACTGTCATGGACCTTCTACGAACTCACCCGCAACCCAGACATTCAGTCTCGGCTTCATGAGGAGATCATGCAAAAGCTGCCACCAGGCACGAAGCTGGAGATGAAGAGCCTATCCGCCAGTGAAATGCCATACCTGAATGGCGTGATCTACGAAGCTCTTCGGCTTTGGCCACCGGTGCCCTTCGACGTGAAGATGGCCTTTGAAGACGACGTCCTGCCCGGTGGGTGGAAAGTGCCAGCTTTTACACAGGTGGGTTACTGCCCCTACAACATGGGCCGGGATCCCCAAAGATATCCAGAGCCAGAGGCCTTCCGACCAGAGAGATGGATCCCCTTTACTTCCCCGTCGCCCCATGAGTTTCCTGTCTTCCAAGCTGGACCGCGGGTTTGCCTCGGCATGGACATGGCGCTTTTCGAGGCAAAGACTGCCACAGTGGAGTTGCTTCGTCACTGCCGGTTCGAGATGGTACAGGGACAGAACGTAACCGGGTAAGCCTTTGAGAAATCTTGTATGCGTTTAGTTTTTTGTTTCATCAGGCTTCACAAGATCTATGTGCTAATGAATTTCATATGCTTTGAATTGCCAACCTAGGTGTCTTACGGTGACAAGATTACCTTGGACATCAAGAGCAATGGCAAGGAGGAGTTCCTTGTACATGTCCGGGACTGGTAGAAGGCTAGCTCTTGAGCTCAATATTTCACAAGATAACTGCATGGGAACCCTGAAACAAAACGCTTAGGCATAATCCTTAGACCCTCAAAACCCTCAAATGCAAGGTTACTTGGAGACTTAGGGTGACCATGCAGAAAACAAGCCGTTGGGTCGCAGGCCACTGATGTGAAGTGGCTTTGTGACAGCCGGTGTGACTTTTTTCCTTTACCCTCGGAGGTCAGACCTATGCGGATTCTCACGGAGTGCAGGTGGTACAGCGCGGTGGTGTTTGGAGTTTTCTTCAAGGGGTCTGGTTTAAGGTGTAGGGCTTGGGATATTTTGAGGGCTTGGCTCAAGTTTTGCCCTAAACCCTAAACCCTAATGGTACTTCGGGGATTGTGTTCTCCAATTTGCTCGGCTGTTGGGTTTAGGGCTTTGCAGATGAAGGGTGTAGGGTGGGGCTTGAGGCTTGGGGTTTTAGGGTTTAGGGTTTAGGGTTTAGGGTGTCTTGTATATCTGAAGCCTCTCTAAACCACGCGCGACCCTGGAATCTAGAATTATCTGAACGCATAAAATCTAAACTCCTTCTATTCCGGGACTTTTATAGAACTGAGCCCTTCCCCCTACACAAGACCCTAAACCCTAAACCCGAAACCCTCAACCCTAAGCCCTAAACCCTAAACCCTAAACCCTATAGACCCTGAGTTCAAGAACACCGACAGCAAACCCTGGCCCTCGAAGCCGCACTCCCGCCTTATAAACCTAAAGGGTCCAAAGTCCAAAGGACCCAATAATTAGGGCTTAGGGTTTAGGGTCTAGGGTTTAGGGTTTAGGATAGTAGTTATGTGGAGGCTTATGTTTGGGAGAGTACATAATCATTAGGTACTTGGACCGTTCGTTGAAAAATGCAGGCAGGAAGTCTCCCCAGAGAAGTTAGTTCTAGGGCCTTTGAGGCCGCATTGAAATTGAGGTTTGTAATCCGTAAACCCCCTAAACCCTTAACCCCTAAACCCTAAACCCCAAACCCCTACCCCCCCTAAAACCCGAAGACCTAAAACCCTAAACCCCTAAACCCCTAAACCCTAAATCCCTAAAGCCTAAACCCTTAAACCCCAACCCCTAAACCCCAAGCCGGTCCGTCAACCCTAAAAGCCAAACCCTAGACCCATGTACAAGCCTCCAAGCGCAAACCGCAACACTACGAAATCCTAAGATCCTCCTCCCTGCACCCGCAAAACCGTATGGGCAGGGTGTAGGGTTTCGGGCTTAGGGCTCAGGGCTTAGGGTTTAGGGCTTAGGGTTACCCGAGCTCTATACAGGGCCCATATAGAACTTACAGAACTTACAGAACCGGTAGAGGAGCCCACTTAACGGAAGTCTAAAGGATGCCACCCAGAGACTCCAATATCCCTTGACTAAAGGAATATACCTTAAATCCTATTAGGGATCCTACTTTTTATTTAAGGTATACTCCTTAGTTAAGGGATATTGGAGACTCTGGGCAAGAAGCACCTAAACCCTAAACCCTAAACCCTAAACCCTAAACCCTAAACCCTAAAACGTTTTAAGCAATCGAAGCCCAGGCTCATGACCGGATCGGACGGCTGGACCAGCAGCGAGTGACTCGTCGGTACGACAGGAGTCATCGAAGACCCTTATTTGGGAGTTTCCGAAAATTAGGGTACCTTAGTTTGGGATCCTTATAATAAGGATCCTATTATTTAGGGTACTATATTAGGGTCCCCTATTTTCGGAAGCCCCCTTATAGTCCCGGTCTATAGAATAGCATACCCTCTAAGCTTGTTCCCTCCATTAAGATCCCTCTACGAAACCCTTGTGGTAACCCAGAACCCCTAAACCCTCAACCCCTAAACCCCTAAAGCCCTAGACCCCTAAACCCCTAAAGCCCTAAACCCCTAAAGCCCTAAACCCCTAGACCCCTAAAGCCCTAAACCATTCAAAGAACCCTTGTTCCAATTTGTAGAGCTCCTCAAGCTTTGGAGGGGGGGGTGCTCCAAGTTGCCCAGGGCTCCTACTGCTGATGAGATAAATCCTGCATTACCTTATGTTTAGGGTTTAGGGTTTAGGGTTCATCGGGATAAATCCTGCATTACCTTATGGACCCTCAAACTATGGGAATCAGCGTTTAGGGCTTTGGGTTTAGGGCATCACCTTAAGGACCCTAAACGATGGGAATTATGGTATGTTCCTTGTTATGGGTGATGCAGGAATCAGGTCATCAATTGTACCTTCAAGGGATCTATGAGGTTTAGGGTCTTAGGGTTCAGGGTGTTCCTAGGACCCTCAGGGGTTCTAAGCAGTTCCTATGATTTCTCACGGTTACTAAAGATTCCCAGGGTTTAATCAGGGCTTTCCGAACCCCAAACTCCTAAACCCTAACTCCTAAGGCCCTAAACCCTAAACCGTAAGGGGGGGTTCACGGCGGGCTGTGTAGGCCATGTTGGGGCTCCCTGGTTGCAGGGCGTCCCCGGGCTTGGGGTCGCAAGTAGAGGCTTGTTGCCGACTGTGGTATTGCCGAGGTCTTAGTCTAGGGTCTAGAGTCTAGGGTTTAGGGTTTCTAGGGCTTAGGGGTTTAGGGCGCCCCCAGAACTAGAATAACAAGACTTTCGTGTATCGTCGAATACTTGGTAATAGTATTACCATCTACTCCGGTCCCCTAAACCCTAAACCCTATACCCTATACCCTTTTTTCCATTATGCTTCTGTAAGCCCCACTCCCAGGGCTCTGAAAGCGGGCGAGGCCCTGCCCCACGCCCTGGACTCCTTGACCGCTACTTTCCGGGGTTGTAAAGCAGAGCTCCCTTCAAGGGTTCCTTTAAGGGTTTACGGTCTAGGGTCTACTGAAAGGTTCATGGGACTTGGTAATAGGTATATAAAACGTTGCAAATGAGGCAACTATGCTCATAATCACTCGCGACCCCAGCTAAGGTACTGTTAACCTTACTTACTAAGTCCCATGATCCTCCAGGTACCCTAAACGGTCCTCCACCTTGCAAGAGTCTTATGAAACTCCATATGCCCCATCAAAACCAAGTCATCGCGACCGCGTAAAGCCTGTGTTGTCCCTACAGAACACCCTCAACTCTGGAGTCCTTCGGCTCTCTCTCGCTCTCTTTCTTTGTTTCTTTCTTAGTTTCTTTCTTGCTTTCTTTCTTTCTTTCTCTCTCTCTCTCTCTCTCGCTCTCTGTGTTTGGATTTAGGGTTTAGGGTTGATCTGGAAGCCTCAAAAATTACCATATTATTCTTAGGGTTCCTACGCCCTATAAACCTTAAACCCAGAAAAAAAAGAAGCAGCCCAAAAAGCCTTCTCTGATGATTAAAGCCTAAACCCTAAACCCAGAAAAAGAAGAAGCCCCCAAAAGCCTTCTCTAATGATTAAGGCTCCGAGATCAGGTCGTAGGGGTTCTCTCTCTCTCTCTCTCTCTCTCTCTCTTTCTCTCTCTGTAGGGGTTTAGGGTTTGGGGTTTAGGGTTTACGGTTTGGGTTTAGGGTTTAGGGTTTAGGGTTTAGGGTTTGAGTTTAGGGTTTAGGGTTTAGGGCTTACGGTTTGGGTCTAGTTTAAAGGAAGCTACAGGTGGGGAGTTTAGGGTTCC